GGAGGGAAATAACCACTCTGATTTTGCTTTGATTTCTGTTTCAAGTCTTGTAATGACAGATCTCACTCCAGTGCAGTATGTTTTGGAAATATAGTTAAAAGGATATGTGATTGCTTTTAGGCACATTTTAAGTGTTGACTAATAAAAGGCAAATATCAAAATAGAACAGTTTAATAAAACATTTTTAAAGCATTTTAGTATTCTAAGGCATCTGTGACCTGCTGAAATTTAATTATTTCTCCAATACCCTTTGGAATTGTTCAGAAAGACATGGTACAGTTTCTATCTGGTGCATTAAGCATCTGGCCTGACTTCACAGAATTACAGATAGCTGAATGTGCACTCTTTATATATTTTATTAACATCCCATAGGCTCATATTTAGATTGTAGTACTGATGTGCCCTGACATGCATCACTACCTGTTGACAGAAAAAAAAACTGGGCTAGACTTGAGAGGGTCTACAAATAGAAAATCTTTTAAAGATGTTTTGGCAATTTACACACAAAAATCTGGCTTTAAAAATGAAAGAGAAGAAAAAGAGCAGCTTTAAATTTAAAAATTTATAAAACATGCCCAAGTTTCAGCATGCCAGATCCTCTGCAAATGAATTAATTTCCAGCATCCGTGTTTTCATTCTCAAACTAATAATGTCCAATTTTCCTTTGCTTCATACCCTTTTGTCCATTCTCAACCATGTGTCTGAGTGGACTTGCCCCTAACTATCATTCTTTAGGGGATTTCATCTCACCTGCATATCACCATCCTAAGCTCTAGCAAGGGTTTCAGGAATACGCATGTGATCAAGCTGACACAAATAAGAGAAGTTCCATGAAGGTGCTTCTAGGGGTTCCTCTATTTTCTGAGTACTACAATATGAGAATGCAAAATGTGTAAGTTACTGCCAAACAGAATGACTAGAGCTGTCAAAGGTCTACAACACATAGCCTAAGGAGGCTGCTGCCACTGAAAAAGGATAAACACTAAGAGCCATAGTTCAACATAAAGAGTTAAGTTTGGGGGCCACATCTGGCAGTGCTCAGGGGCTACTCCCAGCTCTGTGCTCAGCGATTGCTCCTGGCAGTCCAAAAGTTTCAAACCCAGTCCACCTTCCTGCAAAGCATGAGCTGCATACCACTGAACTTTCCAGTCCTCAGAGTCATATTTTTAAGCCTTGTCAGCTTTACCTTAAGCCATACTATACACACAAATTTCTCAGTTATATAAACAGACAGTAAAGCTTGGATGGACTTTGACTCATTAGCGATCAAAAATTTTCTCAGCACAAGGCACTTAATATACCAAAAGTCCATGATTTTTTTTTGTTGCTGTTGTTTTAACATAACACTGAAGACTTTATTCTTGTGACAAATAGTGATAGGAAAATCATTAAGAATGGTTTTTCTTAAGACAAAGAACTTTAATATATTTTAGGATTCAATCTCAAGCACTATGGTTGGAAGTGGTTTAGAGATTCATCTGCCTTACTAAATGCTTTATCTAAGATCTTCAATGAATTTGTATACCCTGAATGAATGAATCAATGAATGAATGCAATATCTTAAGTCAGAAACTGCCAAGAGAAATTAGAAGACCTAAACAAAATGACTACATATCAAAGTCATTTTGAGCTGGAAGTTGGTTTTTATAACCCTCCCTTCCCTCCTCACCCCTCCCCTCTTTCCCCCCTCCCCTCCCCTCCCCTCCCCTCCCCTCCCCTTCCCTTCCCTTCCCTGTTTTTCACTGGAGATCTCACTCTCACAGAAACAGAAAAAAAAATCCTCTGATATTTATCCATTAGAAAGTTATAGTTTTAAAACTGGTGTATGCTATTGGAGTCCATTTTCAGGCCAGTTGTTTACAATATGCATTTCTGTATGCACAATATTTTTTACATGAAAATGTTATTTTCTGTAAACAACAGAACAAAGTGAAAAATGTCTATAGCAACTCAACTAGGTCTAAGTCCAACAACAAAATCACTAAGAACATCTACCTATTTCTCCCACACTTCCTCAGCAATCCTAATTTTCTGGTTTTTCTCCACTGCAACATGAAATAATGAAGTCTTTTTAAAAAAGTTCTCAGTGGTTCTTTCCCATCTCCCTTGGTATACTCTTGTACTAGTGTTCCCTTTTATCCAGATTCTTGGATGCCTTCGCCTTCATCTTAACAATGGCAGCTGCCATTTATTAGTCCATATCATGTAATAGGAATTGAGCTACTGGCCTCAATGAGATTAACTAGATTGTCTACTACACGATGACAAAGATGGAATCGAGACTCCAAAGCCATGGGGTTAAGCATTAGGCTATAGAGATTTCTCCACTTAAATTCCTCACTTCCCATCACAGTTTACAGGTCTTGATACCAAAAAATCACCTGGTTTCCTCGCCCATCAACCACGACAGTCATTCCCTCACCTAAGATTAAGCTTTCGTAGCTTAATCTCCCTTAGGTAGCACATAAGGAAAATTCAAGTAACTTAGGTTAATGCTTAACTTTACCAGAGGCAGTATGCATTATTACAAAGGGGTACGGATTATTATAGGCTGGAGTGATAGCACAGCTGGTAGGGCATTTGCCTTGCATGTGGCCAACCAGGCGGACCCAAGTTCGGTATCTCCGCCCCCCTCACAGCAAAGCCTGGCAAGCTCCCCCATGATGTATTTGATATGCCAAACACAGTAACAAGTCGCACAATGTTACTGGGCCCACTCAACCAAATTGATGAACAGCGGGAGAACAGTGACAGTGACATATTATAAGTTCACCTCCAACTGGACGAATTTCAGGCAAGTGAAAAGAATCACACGCGCGCATGTGCATGCACACATGCGCATGCGCGCGCGCACACACACACACACACACACACACACACACAAAACAGAGGCAACAAGAGAATTTATTTCTAGGCAGGTAGAATTCAAAGGGTCCTCTTAAATGTTTGTTTCTAAAGAGAGTGAATTCGTAAGGGAATTACAATTTTTCACTATATCTTCTCTTCTACATTTTAATCTACATTTGAAAAAATTATCAACTCCGCATAACTGACATTCAATAAATTCCTGCAACCTATAGTGCCATGTGATTAATAAAAGCCCAGAGAAGAAACACAAATTCATATAAAAACAACAGTCTAGGGAATAAATACGTCTGAGGTCCTAACTCACAGGACTCCTTTAGAAAACTATAACCACAATTGTTTGTTTATCTTTTCTGTTTTTGTCATTCAGACCTTGCTAGTTGGAGACAAAACTTATTAACTATGGATAGCAATTTGGCTAGGCAAAAATACAACCAATTCCCAATGGAAATAGCTTCTATAAAGAATTATATCATAAAATAAGTCAATAGATGTGTTTTTCAGTAACAGATAAAACTTCATGACTTACTGAGAGATATGTTATTCCAAAACTTAGCAGACACATTTATGTTTAATTGTGTTACTTACCTCAAAAATGGGCTTTTCAAGAGACATAAAATTCTAAATGAGTGTGCCTTGAGAAGCCAGTGAAAGTACAAACACAAGAACAATATGGATCAAGACACAGTAACAACAAAGTCTCCAATGGAGACGTTACTGGGCCCGCTCGAGCAAATCGATGATCAACGGGAGGGCCTTTACTTTACTTTACTTTACTTTATATCTCTTTTCAAGGACCCACCTTCTACTTTGATATCATTCATCTCAAGAGGAACTCAAAAATTAAACTTTTATCGAGGAAGAATATAAAAAAGTGAACTAAATGAAACCAAATGAAGAGACCAAATTCAAAGACTCCTGGGAAAGACCATTAGGTCCTCTCCTTCAGAAATGCACATTTATACAAAATACTAAAAAATCAAATGATAACGCTTGTGGACCTCAAAGAATAGACACTGATTTAAATAAAATTTCAAGGAAACTAGTAAATATATGTTATTTTTAGAAGAAAAAGTTAAGAGAGCAATATTCTTCCTCAAAATACTAAACTGTAAAATGTACTTTCTTGGTGGAAAACATATAGGCCCAAAATAATTGCTGAAATACTGAAAATCAATCTTTGAAGATAAAAGTCTATACTTTATTAATTAGACATAGCTCATAATACCTTAACCCCACAATTGTCCGGTGCATTTCATGTACCTAAATTAAAAACATTTTAGTAACTTGCAACAACAATTATTTGAAGATTTTTTTCTTCTTAGAAAGTTTGGCTATACCTGACCCCATTTTCTGAGCAGCAGAAACCTCAAAAAAGGAAAATGTTCAATTTAATTTTTCAAAAACATTTTTAAATGTCCCCAGTCATATAAAATATAGTAACAACTATATTCTAAAGAAGATGAACAAATCATAAGAACATGAGAAACATACTTTTACTTCCCAAAATCTGGAGCAGTAAATCACTCACTACCTCTAGAATAAAGGTCTAATCACTTCCATTTATGTTTTCTTTTAAAGACGTTTTAACATGCCCATTTCCCTTCCTGTAAACAAGAAGGGTTTATTTTGAACTGCTTTCTATTCATTTGTCAAATAAATATCCACAGCTGGGGTTTCTGGCCTTCATAATTATAACATCATTATAATGTAGAATATGATTTGGGGTTAATTTCTTTTCAATACAGATTGGCTGAAAAAATAAAGCATCTATGGTTTTCTATCGTGATCTTACAAATATCCTTCTAAGGTGCCTGTATTTTTTCCATGAGCCTGGTACCACTGCCTCGGTCCAGTCAACTTTAGGAAACGCTGGAATTCCAGAGGCCTGCCTGTGAACCGAAAGGCATCCTGGCTCGGGCAGGCGGAGAGCCTCATTTCGGCTTCTCTCGCGCCCTCTAGCGTCCTCAGAGCTCATCGCTCCAGCTCTTCAGTTACCTCACTGAATAGGAGCTTCGCTAAGTCCGGCCCATATATGACATCACCCACTTCTTCAACCACTGCGAGGTGAGGCTTTAACTTCAGAATTGGAGGTGGGCTGCGCGCAGCGAACGGGCACGCTCTCCCTCCGCACTTCTCAGTGTCGGAGCCTCCCGAAGCTGGACTAGCTCAGCCTGCAGCTGCCGTTGGCTTTGTGTGCAGTGGACTTGGCGCTCGGGAGCGGGGGAGGGCTATCACTCCAGTTCACAGTCAGTGGAATTACAGCTAGAGCCGCAGTGTATATAGGATTGCTTTTCTCGCCTTCTTGGTAAGTGTTTTCAATGTTTTTCTTTTCGATTGTCCCGTAAAGTTTGCTTGGTTTTTACTCCCGAATGAGAACTGACTTGGTACCAGGAGACGTCCAAATCCTAACGTTTGCTCTACCGACTGGGTGAGCAATGTATGTGCGTGTAAGCCCGGACGGCGAGATTGGGCTGATCAAGCGAATACTAGAAGTTTCTTAAAACTGTCTTCCTTCTTTAGAAAAAAAAAATAATAATAATGCTAGTGATAACCCATGGCCATTTTCTGTGTCATGCAATTGCTATTTGAAAAGAGTCTTTGAGAAAATAGCAAGTTGGAAAGTTAAATGTTTCATCTTGAAAATACAAGGTGGGTTTTTCACACAGAGGAAAGTGGAAGATCTTGCTAACTTGGTGTGTACTCTATGTGTGGTATGATCGCCAATTGCTGTTTTTACAACTGTGAAAGAAAATCAATAATCCCTCAGCCCATGAGTGCAATACATGAAAAGCATACATCTTGCTCACAGCTAGCCGAGCTACTCCTAGAGACTTAGGAGCCTCTGTAAGGATTAACAGCTACACCTAGATTTTAAAGCTAGCATTGCTATCCTACCAGTTAGAGGTATTTCTAGCATTTCAGGCTTGCAAATCTCAACTAGTAAAATTCAACTCAGTAGGGGGAAACGTTTTTCCAAACCATATTCCCTCTCTAGCAGAATGCCAAAATTCATTGCTCAGGCAAATGCCTGTGACTAGCATAGTAATTGGTAAAGTCTACTCAGAAAAACTAACAAAGCTCAGCCTGGAAGCCAAGCTGCTATATACAGCAAGTTCGGGGAGGCAGGGGGCGAAAAAACAAAACATGTAGGGGCCCCAGCAAGTAAGATATGTAGAGACTTCAATCACTTGAAACTCACAAAAATCTTTTATGAGAATGTTCTTACGCCACACAGCTTTTAGAAGCAGTTCAATGCATCTACTCTTTTTTTTTTTTTTTTTTTTTTTTTGGTGAATTAGATCTGAAACAAAATGGATGCAGAGAGGTAAAGAGTGCAAAGTGCAACAGGCCTATATTTTCTCAACATCTGGAATGAGGGGTCGAGTTTGGTCAATTAATAAATTAATATTTTAAACGATCTAATCTGTGCCCATTATGGAAACAAATTTTCTAAGTTTTTGACCCTTAGCTATTTAAATTTTTCTTTATAAGTAAATTGATCTGCTTCATACTGCACATATATGTTAATTCATTAGCCAGGAACAACAGAAACAAAGCTTCTGGAAAATCTGTAGCAATGCCTTTCCTTCATCCCGAACAACACAAAAAATATTCCCACTAGCATACATATCCTAACCAGCACAAACATGTCTGGTTGCAGGGAGCATCATTTATGCCTGCCCTAGAGAAACAGATAACTAAAACTCATCTCTTCTAAAGTAAGAAAAAAAATGAGGTTTAAAAGTACTACAAAAAAGTAATATTCCCACAAATACCAGATTGTTAATACTATGCCAGGTTTTTATTTATAAGACGATTAAATCAGAGATATGCTACTTACTTTGCAAATACTCATGTGTGTGCAACACATGTATACACTTACATAGACATATATTAAATTAGCCTAAAATAGAAAACAGGATTATAAAACATGATTATATCTCTGTAAGGAAGTCACAATTTTTAAGGTAGCACTACCAAAACACATGGCTAAGAATCAGCAAATATATTAGCAAATGAATAACTAGAATAATAAATTAATAATTAATATTGTGCTGCTGTTATTAATTGGGCTTTCATTTCTCTATAACACCCTCTTTTAAATTTATTATGATTCGGTTCAAAAACGCCCAATTAAATAACTTCCTAAACATTAATGTTTGTGAAATATATAATTGGGCAGCAAATAAAAGTTTTTACAAAAAAGAAAAGCAGTAAGAAATTTTTCATAACTGATTATGGCAGCAAAATAGAAGGTATGTTTCTTTTGTTTTCAAGTGTTAATTAAGGAGCTTCCAATTCTATCAAAACTTTTTCAGAGCTAAATGAAGCGATGTGAAATAAATTTGGTTGAAATCTTGTGGATGTCAGACTTTGTTAGCAAGCTATTAATTATCTTTATCCCGGTTTCTTCACCAGATTATATTGCCCAATCAAATAGAAACTCCAATTATGTGCAGAATCTCCTGCCTAGGGACATGGGGTCTCAGGATGAAAAATACAATTATCAGTTTTAAATATGCAAATATACTGCAGTGAGATTTGTCTGTGCTTTCCTTGGCCATACATTCTGTCTCTCTCCCCCTTCTCAATGGTTTGAAAGCACTTAAAATACTTCGTATAAAAATTAGCATGCTTTGGGCTAATTTTGTATTCATTTTTCTTCTGTCTGCATCATTGGTTTTGATATGCCAGTGTTAATTCAGATATTAAATTTGATTTTAAAAATATTTTTGCTTGAAAGAGCATTTCGGTGGGTTTTACCCCTATCCCCCTCCCCAACTCCTTCTAAGGTGGGTGGGCTTTATAACAATGAGAATGTGATTAATGTAAGATTCAGAACTAACTTGAAATTTCTGAATCACTCCCCCCCAACACACACACAGTTAAATATTTATTTCAAACCAGTTTGTTCTAATAGCATTATAAATAATTGTTGAAAGTCAAGTGGAGACCACAAGGCAATGAGAGAAATCAGATTCAGTAAAAATTTCAAAGGCTGTAATTTCTTCCCTCCTTTTCCCCTCCCCCACGCACTCCCACCCTCTCCTCCTCCCCCACCTTTTGCCCCAGAGGCCTTCACTGTTCTCAACAGGGGGCTTTGTTGTAATTAAACCAGAGAAAAACTGGCCGACAGCAGCCAACATCTGACTTGCGGCTTCTAAAAGCAGTGTTCTAGTAGAGTGTACCACCCCCCAGCGGGCAAAAACTCTACAGTAAATCTCTCAGAGATATTAAATCTCAAAACTGCATATTTCTCCTCAGAGCAAAAAAAAAAGGCTGTTTCTTGGCTCCTTCTTATATTTCTTCATTTCAAAAACTTACTGTAAGTCAACAAACCAATTTCCAACAAAGGGATGGTTTGTAAATGTCTTCTGGAAAAAGCCTTCTTCCTCTTAAGAACCCAAATAGAAATACAATTTTCAGAAGGCATTTTCCAGTTTCAGAAAGTGGACCAACATCGCTAAATTGAGTTAATCCACACTAAAAACAATTTTGAAAGTCGTTTTTATATTGTATAGTGCAAGCAAGCTTCAGGATTTGATTTGTCCATTTACAAGAAAGAACTTTAGAGAAACAGATTTTAAGCAAAAAGTAATGACATATAATTTAAGCAACAGCTAAAGTCTAAAGTCGCCATTTGTTTTGCATATGCATAATCTCTTCCCTAGTCCCCAAATCAAGTGTTAGGAATGTGTAGAAAAAGCTCTCTCCAGGTATCAAGTCTTCCTAAATGCTAGGAGGAAGAAATTGCACTTACTTGATGAGACAATGACAGCTTTTGTTCTTTATTCTTTTCCTTTACCTGTGCACAAGTTCCCGGGCAACTTTGAAAAGAAAACTCACAGAATCACATTTGTTTAAAAACTGGTTTTTAAAGTGTGCCACTGGGCTGTTTATCTGTGGCTGATTTTCTTCCTTTTCATTTGGTTTAAATCAATAATTCCCTGCACTCTGATATGAAGAGATAAGGTATCTAATTATTTGGGATATTCTCATCAACTAGCATAGTAGCTGGCACATAGCAGATCCAAATATTTGTTGAATTAGTGTATGGGAATTTAAATATTAGAAACTCAGAGCACACTGACCAAGACCAGATTGTACTCAGAATGCTAGACAAGGCACTTCAGAGGTGCAGTGCTAAAATGTTTGTGGTTTAAAAATTAGCATGATTTTCATTGCAATTGCTCTAAAGTCAGTGAAAACTTAAAGTATGACTTCTGCACCAAACTCTCTACTGTTCTATCTCTATCACTGTTTAAATAGCATTTTATTTATACTTTCAAGTCTTGATTCTATAATTCATTTAGTCTGTCTTTAATATATAGGATTCACTAGGATGAAGGATACTATTCCAGTGTGCCTTTTTGTCTTAAAGATGCTCCGTTTAACTTTACAAACCAAATACAGGAAGCAGAATTTGATTCATATATCACACACCAATTGGGTGTGTGGGGGGGGAGTGGTGGGGGGAAGCCACTAATATGAAAGGAGAAAGGAGAAAGTACGAATTATTTGCTTTGGAAGTTTTATCCCCTATATTACACAAATGAAAGAAAACCTTCTTGAGGCCAGAAAATAGTCTAGACAAAACCAAGTATGAAAAGGCACACTTGCTTCTCTGCCTATCAGCAAACCCTTCAGACTTCATAATTCTCAAGAGGAGAGTTAGAGGTCCTTCTGCTTGCCTGGCATTAAACAAAAGAATTGGAACTTTCCTGAAATCTGATGATCGTGGAAAATTTAACCACAGACAGGCTGCTTTGAAAGCATTTTGCTGTCACTATCAACTAAGCTTACGTATTCCAGTTTTTTTAATTTAACTATATGCGTAGTTTATATGAATTTCTATTTGTTGTCCAAAGAATTAGCATCTACGTTTAGACTATTTTTTGTGCTTTCTAGCATTTTAAACCATTATAGATAACTTCCCTAATACTGTAGATAATGATCATATGTATATGTGTGTGTACATATACACACATGTGTGTATATGTGTGTATATATACATACACGCATTTACACATGTATATACCTCCCTTTATATAGGTATAGTCACAAACTTAGATGAACCTAATTAAGCATGTATTTCTGTATCTCAGAAAGTATTCAAAATACTAAAGCAGTTAACTCAGATTAGAGTCTTTATATGTCAGACTATTATATGTACAAATATATTAAAAAGCTACCAACATTAACAAATCATAGTAATGAAAAACATTAAGATGAAACTAAAATCTCAATCTTATACTTAATATTTTTTTTGAAATGAGCAAGGATCAATATAATTTAAGCCAAAGGCATGAGATAATTTATACCAAAGGACTTCAGGAATTAGTATGAAAAACATATTACATAATGTCACTCTAAGAGATAAACAAATGAAAAATATCTCTCAACTCAAACTCCAAAATTACTATAATAGTAAAGGAGAATTTATATGTGCATAGATTGCTTCAATTTTAAAGTTCAATTAACTTAAACATCAATTTTTTGTCCTAGCACAGTTTCTTAAATTATATTACACCTATTTCAATATATCAAAATGATAGTATCCTTATTATCTTCCTTAGGTGTATCATGGAAATAAATGGGAGACTTTTTGCAAACTTGACGATTACATTATAAATGTACGGGGATAGGAATTCATAAAAATTGTGAAGTTTCCCTGAGTAAAAAGATCACTCCTAAAAATGTGACTCACTCATGAGGTAATTATGTCATTTTTTCCTTTTTGCTATATTTTTTTATTTAAATGTTAGATGCATAAATATTGATTCCATTTAAAATTATTTTTACAATACACTTGGAAGTAACTAAGGATTCCACTTGTTTCCTCCAAGTTTCCTTTAATGTTTTTCTAGAAGATTTTTTTTTGTTCAGAAGTAATGACCTCTTTCAAGTCTATGTAGATATAGTCTCTGAACTTGATGTTGTAGAAATCTAGACACAGTGTCCATCCCAGTGATACTCATGTACTTTTCATTATTCACATTCAACTACAATGTCTTTATGTGCATGAAAGGAAGAAAGCTTAAACATGGGTCAGTGTCACTTATTTCGAATGAAGAGATTAATATAACCTTTACTACAAAAAAAGCTTAACTGGTTATCACCACAGTTTCAAATTTAAAAAAAGAAGGTAAATATAAAATACGATAAAATATAAGACCAAATATTAATGAACTGTTTTGAACTTAAATAAAGGGAAGAGAGACTTCTGGGGGAATATTCATTTTGAAAAAGCAAAATATTCATTTTGAAAAAGCAAAATACTCTCCAGAGAAACCTTCTTTACTTTTTTTCTTCTTTTTTGTCTTGGATGTTAATGCAGTTTTGGGAAAAGAGAATGATATTTTCCAAGAACTTAATGAGATTTAAGGCCTTCTATTAATCCCACATTTTCATCACTATTGTATTAATAGCAACATAAATTTGCATATCAAATGCAGCAGAGAAAGCAGTTTCACAGATGTAAAAATAGGAAAAATAAACAAATTAAATCTCCTTCATTTCATACCAATTTATTTATTTTCCTTTCTCTAAGTGAGTTAAAAGGAAAATATCAAGATATTTTTTAGACCTTGATCTAATGATTACAGCTAGGAAACAAACTTGAAGGCATTGATTTTGTTATCTCTGGTTATCTCAGTGATCATCACCTTGGACAGATTCTGAAGTTGATGTGACTCTGGGAATCACCAAAACATTTGAAATCCCCACGTAGCAGATTCAGTTTCTCAACATGAGAGAATGTCCTGGGATACGAAAAATGCCCATTAATGTTATCATTGTCTCTCACCCTTTTTTTTTGTAAAGGTAAAGGTAAAGGCCCTCCCGTTGATCGTCGATTTGCTCGAGCGGGCCCAGTAACGTCTCCATTGGAGACTTTGTTGTTACTGTGTCTGGCATATGGAATACTCTCGGTCGCTTGCCGGGCTCTCCGAGAGGGGCGGAGGAATCGAACTCGGGTCGGCCATGTTGGCCGCGTGTAAGGCGAACGCCCTACCCGCTGTGCTATTGTTTTGTAAGCTTAAACTAACCAAATTTTCTGATGTTGAATTATTTTCAACCTTAGAAGAAATAATTACCATGGACACCTTAAAAGTTACTTTGAAATTATACTATTAATTGTTGATGTTCCATTTTTACATACTGAAAAAGCAAGTTTTTCTAGAAAATATACTATTGAAATCCAGCAGTAATGAGCAAAACCCTAAAGGTATCACGGCAAAACCTCACATCAAACAATAAATCATTTAAACTTTTTGCTGTGGGCACAGTTTTTCGCAATATCTACAGGAAACTATCCATTTGCAAAATGTGATTTTTCTTTGAAGTTGGCTAAGTAATAAATATATACATATATGTATATATATAACTTCTAAAAAAGTTTTCTTTTACTAATAAATCTATGTATCCAGTGGCAAACTGAAAGAAACTGAATTTTGAAAGAGATTATAAACACAAATTTTGCCTCATTTAACATTCACTTTTAGTAGTTTTGAGTTCTGGAGCAGATGCTATACTTGCCGGATCTATATAATTACTGGGGAGAAGCAAGTCACTTCTGCTTTAATTCTTAATTTCAGTGTCAAAAATGTCCAATGTACCCTAATGTTCCCTACATCTATACAAATCTGAGTGGGTTAAAAGATCCTAAGCCTGTCACCAGCACCTCCCCTGTCTACTGAAAAGAAATCCTCAGGCATATTAGACAATGGACAAAGCAGTTCCCATTAAAATCATTGGTTTTTGGTCATGTCTAAAGTCTTTTCTTTCAGCAAAAAACAAACAAACAACAAAACAAAACAAAAACCACATTCATTGAAAAGTATGATGTTTCTGTTCAGACTTGGAAGAAATGCCTTGTCATCATTTTCTTCTCCTATAGGTAATTGCTAAAACATGGGTCTATAGGAAGATCAAACAGGGTCCTCAGACAATAAGATGAAAAGCTTCTGAAAACTTACACATTCTTTAAGTTGTAGATTGTGTGACATCCTAATATTCAGAAATACCTTCAAAGTTGCTACAGCATTTTTGTCAAAAGTCCTTGCTATGCAGTAGCTCCTCTTTGATGTACTTTTTACTTTAAAACCTTTATCATTTTATATCCCAGATATTAAGGGAACTAAAGGTTGAACTCACCTGAATTTGAAAGTCATAAAAGGGAATGCTGACTCCTGAATAAAGCTTTACTTCTTTTCTTAACTCAGAGTATACTAACAATTTAACTATTTGGTGACCATGTCAACTTCAGCCTCCAATTCCTTTATATAAGTAAAATGGAAATTAAAATATATAAAGGTCATCTTTTCCATCCCATCAACTATCATGATGAAAATTCTGTTACTTAAGAACTGAAGTTATATACTCTATGGAATTTCTTTAGTATGTCAAATTTCATTACTCATTAAAACCTTTTACTTTCGCAGGACATGCTCAGACCCAGTTTATGTTCAGGGAGAATGATATAAAGGAAATCTGGTATGTCTCCTTTCCTTTCCCATGAAGAATATCTGAATGAAATTTTCCTCACATCTTAAAATGAGAATACCTGTTCTTGAGTAGTGCGACTACACCAGAAGTTCTGAGAAAGCAGCAAGAAGCAACAGCTAGAAATCAGCAGGTAATCATACCTCTGGATGTAGCAGCTGTACAAAATTCATACTTGGATAATCCTGGATGGGAGTAAAGGTGGGGAGTAACTGGCCTTACCAGCATGAATGGCTTTCTTCATGAGGATCTGAAGTTACTATCTCTAACCATATTGCACAGAAGAGCCAATAAGAATTTCAAAGAGAGCAGTTTCCACTAAGGGAATTAAGATACACAGAAGGAACCTTCACATAGAAACTCTGTCAGAGAAGAAAATAAAACCAACGTAGAAAGCCATGAGTTCTACATAGTACCAGGAAACTGAATTGTTTCTGGCCCCCACTTTCATGAGTTTGCCCAACATGCTAAACTGCAGCTGAAATGTCCACTGACATGAGCAAGCCCGATCTGGAAGTGTGCGCCGCATAGGATTACTTGAATTAACAGTGAAGAACATTTCCAAGGACTAAACAAGAGTTGTTAATCCCGGCCCCTTGCCAGGAAAATAATACACGTGCATTGGATTTTCACTCACGCAAAATTTACTCACATCGTTCAATAAGGTAGGAAAAATATTAAAGTTTCTTATTTTCATGCCTGAAATGATAATGGCTAATTAATGCCTAATGACAGAATGGATAATATTACACAATTAGTTATTAATCTGTGGTTATCCTGCTATGAGGAAAGTTGAATAATATTCTAGATTTAAATTACAAGAAAAATATAAATGTGAAATAGAATATAATAAAACAATGTGCATTTAGCCATTAATCAATAACATGAAATACAAAACAGAATATAAACAGAATGAATTAGCTTAACTTAAAATGAAATTTTCTATTGAGATAGGCCAGATATATTAGCTATGTGATTCTTTCCTCCCCTACAGTAGATGAGAAAGATCCCTACTGAGTTTTTTGCTAAAAATGTCTAACAAGGTTTAATATTGATAATTATTGAAAAAATTAGTGACACTAATAAACAGCTGCTTTACTGGGATTCAGGATCTATCAAGAGGTGATTCCTAATTGGATTTTTTTCACTATATATACATACATCTTGTAATCTAATAAATGAAAATTAGATACATCTCTGGTTATTATGAACAGTAATATTATCTTTGAATATAACAAAGCATATTCTTATTGTGTTAACTTATTACACATTTTGAGAAAACATTAGAAATTTGACTAGTGTGAACAGTGGCTGACTATAAAATTAACATCAATATTACAAAAATGCTTTGTAATATTCAGTGACTTTAATTATATTTAATATCCAAAGTCAAAAGGATCAGGGACATCACAATTCTTAATATAAAAGCATTTAAGGTAAAAAAAATACATATGATTGTTTTCATAATTATCTAGCTAAATATCCTAATATCAAAAATATAAATAAAAATTATTACTCTGTTAATGTCCACATTTATTTTGAACACTATTTTAAATATATTGGTCTAATTCTATTGAACTCATTCCATTTTAGGACTTCGAAGCTACCTTGTATAAAAGACCTCAACACTGCTGACCATGATCAACCCAGCCTGGAGCATCTTTCTCATTGGGACCAAAATTGGGCTGTTCCTTCAGGTGGCACCTATATCAGCTATGGCTAAATCCTGCCCCTCCGTGTGCCGCTGTGATGCAGGCTTCATTTATTGCAATGATCGTTCTCTGACATCCATCCCAACAGGAATACCAGAGGATGCTACAACTCTCTACCTTCAGAACAACCAAATAAATAATGCGGGGATTCCTTCTGATTTGAAAAACTTGTTGAAAGTTGAAAGAATATACTTGTACCGCAACAGTTTGGATGAATTTCCTACCAACCTCCCAAAGTATGTAAAAGAGTTACACTTGCAAGAAAATAACATAAGGACAATCACTTATGATTCACTTTCAAAAATTCCTTACCTAGAAGAACTGCACTTAGATGATAACTCTGTCTCTGCTGTAAGCATCGAAGAGGGGGCGTTCCGAGACAGCAACTATCTCCGACTGCTCTTCCTGTCTCGTAATCACCTTAGCACAATCCCCGGGGGTTTGCCCAGGACTATAGAAGAACTCCGCTTGGATGATAACCGTATATCCACAATTTCATCACCCTCTCTTCAAGGTCTTACCAGCCTAAAACGCCTGGTTTTAGATGGAAACCTATTGAACAACCATGGATTAGGTGACAAAGTTTTCTCTAACCTCGTTAACTTAACAGAATTGTCACTGGTGCGAAATTCTCTGACTGCTGCACCAGTAAACCTTCCTGGAGCAAACCTGAAGAAACTTCATCTTCAAGATAACCACATCAATCGGCTGCCTCTCAAAGCTTTTGCTGACCTGAGGCAATTGTATAGACTTGACATGTCCAATAATAACCTAAGTAATTTACCTACGGGTATCTTTGATGATTTGGACAATATCACTCAGCTAATTCTTCGAAACAATCCTTGGTACTGTGGGTGCAAGATGAAATGGGTACGTGACTGGTTACAGTCACTACCTGTAAAGGTCAACGTGCGTGGACTCATGTGTCAAGCCCCAGAAAAAGTTCGGGGAATGGCTATCAAGGACCTCAACGCAGAACTGTTTGATTGTAAGGAAAGTGCCATTGCAAGCACCATTCAGATTACCACGACAACACCCAGCACAGTATATCCTGTTCAGGGCCAGTGGCCCGCTCCAGTAACCAAACAGCCTGATCAGAAGAATCCCAAAACCAGCAAGGATCAGCGAACCACAGGCATTCCAGCAAGAAAAACAGTTATGATTACTGTGAAATCTGTCACCTCGGACACAATTCGTATTGCTTGGAAACTTGCCCTACCTTTGCCTGCTTTAAGACTCAGCTGGCTCAAGCTGGGCCACAGCCCAGCATTTGGATCTATAACAGAAACAATTGTAACAGGGGAACGCAGTGAATATTTGGTCACAGCCCTGGAGCCTGACTCACCCTATAGAATCTGCATGGTTCCCATGGAAACCAGTAACCTCTACCTATTTGATGAAAGTCCAGTTTGCATTGAGGCTGAAACAGCACCTCTTCAAATGTACAACCCTACAACCACTCTTAATCGAGAGCAAGAGAAAGAACTTTACAAAAACCCCAATTTGCCACTAGCTGCCATCATTGGTGGGGCGGTGGCTCTGGTGACCATCGCCCTTCTCGCTTTAGTGTGTTGGTACGTGCACAGGAATGGGTCTCTCTTCTCCAGGAACTGTGCTTACAGCAAAGGGAGGAGAAGAAAGGACGATTATGCAGAAGCTGGAACTAAGAAGGACAACTCCATCCTGGAAATCAGGGAGACATCTTTTCAGATGTTACCAATCAGCAATGAACCAATTTCGAAGGAGGAGTTTGTAATACACACCATATTTCCTCCGAACGGGATGAATCTGTATAAAAACAATCACAGTGAAAGCAGTAGTAACCGGAGCTACGGAGACTACAGAGACAGTGGCATTCCAGACTCAGACCACTCACACTCATGATGCTGGCACACTCGCAGCGAACTGTGTTGGTCCTTAGACACCTAAGGGAGCTGACAGTAGGAGCCCCTGTTCTACTGCAAAACACTGGAAATGGAGACTAAAGCAATGTACTGTACATTTGCCATATAATTTATATTTAAGAACTTTTTATTAAAAGTTTCAAATTTCAGGTTACTGCTGCGATTGATGTAGTGGAGATGCCTGAACACAATTCTATATTTTAGTATTTTTTAGTAATTTGTACTGTATTTTCCTTGCAAATATTGAAGTTATAAATCATTTACTTTGTGTTCTACTGAGTAAGATGACTTGTTGACTGTGAAAGTGAATTTTCTTGCTGTGTTGAACAATCAGGACTGCATTCACATGAGATCCTTGTAGAATAAGCACAGGCCATTTTTCACTTTGGTATTAATAAAATGTGAAAAGAAAAGAACTGGCTGGATGATAAAAATTAAATTTCAAAAAATAGCTATGAAATACTGTTCTAATTATTAAATTTGTATTATCCCAGTGGTATTCAGTACATCAAAATATGTGAAGTAATGGGCAATATCAAACTTGCTGCATAGCTCCATTTTTGCTTTTAGCAAAATAGACCTCCTTAAAGTAAGCATACATTCTGAATTAAGTACATCAGCTGGCATAAGAGGTGTTGTGAAGTCTGGTTAAAACCACTGCTAACAACGCTTTGTGAACGAAGAATGATTTGTTGACAGTCAGTAATGTAAGTGGACTTCCAACTTAGGGTGAAATTTGTACTTAGGAAAACATGAAAACTTAAAATTATATAGTGTGATGGACAAAAATAGCAGAATTGCAGTTTGGTTTTACCTACGCCATCCTTGATTCTTGAAAAGCAATCTATTAAAGACATACTTGCTAGTGTTTATGATGTTTTTATCATAAAGGATATCAAAGAAAAATTTTATACATATTAAAAAAAGGTAGCACTATCATAAGCAATTCCCCTCAACAACTCAGAGAAAGTAGTACTTTAAATAGGTAAATAGAATTTAAAAGAAAAATAATAGGGATCAAATTTAAATCCGGTTTATACAATATGTGTTAACACTGTACATAAATGTTTAGTTTACTTTGATAATGATCAGAATACTGCCCATTACTGTCACAATTTTCTTGATAAGACATAATGAACTTGTAATGTAATATTTCTTTTTAGCTTCCAACTGAATTGTGAACAATTACTAGTTTAAAAACCACTTCACTTCAATTATGTTGCCATGATTTTTTTTTTCCCAACAGAAAAACCAAAGTGCATTGTACGCCCTTTGGCCAGTCGTGTATGTGCCTTGATCCAACGCTATATGTATTCAGCTTTTAAAACTCAACAGACAAATTTTTCATAATATGTTAAATATGAAAAATTATGGTCTTATTGCTGAATAAAACAAAAAAGTACAAAATAATTGTGCTTGCTTGTTCAGGATTATGTTACTATCACTAAAGTAGCAAATAGCCCAGCACATTAGTCCTAAGTACCCCCATGTATTTTTCTAGGCATAAAAATAAAAGTTGGCTACAAATAAAACCAAAAAAAGGATTACCTTGGGCTTGCGTATCATTTTACTTCAAAGAGTTCAATGTTTTATAAATTAATTTTCTAAAAGTCTTTGGAACTACCTATATTTTATTTATTCATTTCAAAGCTGAAAATTTTCAGCAGTGCTGTTGTGTGTTTTTTCTTTGGAAACTGTTGTCATTGCCTTGATACTTTTTAACTTACCTGTGTCTGAAAAAAAAATTACACATTTTTAAATAGTTCTCTGGTAGTGTGAGTTGGCATCAGAGGATTTGAGATCTCAGAATTAACACTGATTAGTATATACTTAGGAAAAAACAAAACAGCTCTTTATAGCTTAGTTTTTGTATCTATCAAATGGGACTATAAATATCCCTAACTTCCCAGAGTTTTGTAAAGATAAAATGAGACAATGTGCTTGGAAACTATAATGTTACTGGTATTAAAGTGAGAAGAAGAATTAGGTGTGTTTTCTCAGAGGTTTGCCAGATATAACTGCTTCTGTTGTTGAATCAACAAATATCTTGAATTACCTATGATAACATTTTCATGTGTAATCTTCAAACATTTTCTATTACATTCTCTTGATTTCCTGTTCTGAAGATTTAGAAATAATTTAGAAAAAACATATGACAAGCATTAAATATAGAGAATGTTTTCTGAAGGAAGTTTGACTTTGTTTCTAAAGGTTTTGAGTCATTCCTCTACCATCATGCCAAAAGTCAGGAAAGGGTTTGATAGATCAATAAAGTTTCTATAAAGTACGAGTTTAAGGGCCAAAGTGGCAGTATAAGGGTTAATTAAATGCATGCCTTAGGCCAACCATGGTTTAATGCTAGTCATGAGATGAGACCCTGAGCATTGCCAAGAAGGCATAGCACCCAAGCTTCATCAGAGTGGCCCAGGGCCTGTATAGCAAAGTATTCTCAGGCCATCACAATGAAATGCTGACTCTGCTGGCCAAGAATATTGCTGGAAACTGACTCCTGAGCTTTATAAGTACCACTTGAAAGAGCCTGTCCCAGCAAGGAAATCATGAGTTTTGGAAAGTTTTTTTTTTAAGTTATACTGAATATTTTTCAGTTGGTAATCCTTTCACGAGCATGGAAAATATTATGTGTTCTCATGTGTATTTTGATGCTCTTACCAGGAAAAACTAAAGCAAATGGAGGCATTACCAAGAAAGCAAAAGTTTATTCTTTACCTGGGCTTGTTAGAAAATGAAGATGCTCATTTAAAAAATCTATACACTCTCTATAGAAACATAAAACAATATTGTCTCAACCTTAAGGACACTGTGTTAATCAGACACAATAGTTTATATCTTAAACTAATTTTTCACAATTTGTACTGATACTAAGAGAAAATCTTTGCAAAATCCCAATCCTGACTATGACAGTATGAGTACTTAATAAGAATGCAACTGAAGTCAACTACAAAAAAACAGAAAATTACTCCTCTGCTATTTAATAAAAATCAAACAGCAAAAGTTAAGTTTTGATGCAGCGACTTTTAACTGCATGAAATCTCCATACTCTCATTCCCTGTTAAAACAAGCACTATGCTTTTTCAGTAAAGTCTATTTGTATTTTTTAAAGTCCCCTTTGACAACAGAACTAGTGAAAAAAAATCAAAACAAAAAACTCTTAGTTTTTGAGTAAAACAAACTCTATAGCTACATTCCCACGCGACAGTTCTCTTGGGAATCTAAAGAGCCACACGTGTTACAAGCATATAATGTGTGGATATTAAAGGAAACAATCCCCCACTGAATTTGCTTTTACATTGCTTCAGAAAACAGTAATGGTACATGACTCTGTAATTTTTTTCTTCTAAAGATGATTAGCAAGTCTTTTAGCTTAGTTTTTAAGATTTAAAACTATTATACTTTGTTTTCAGATTTTTTGGGTTGAATTATAGCAAGGGAAATGTTTATTTCGCTCTTTCTTAAAACCCCAGATAATGCTGGTAGCCAATGACCTTTGCAAGGTCACTTCTTAGAGCAAGGATTCTAATATAGTACAAATATTCATATGTATATTTATACTTGTGTATATAAAATATATTCATATAGTACAAATGTTTTATATAATAGTATAAATATGTGTATATACATATGATCATGTTATTCTTTACTATAAATATTATATATATATAAATATACTGTTTCTGCTATACTATCCAATCCTTAGAGGTCATAAGGCATAAACATTTAATCTAATAAAAGTTTACTGCAACTGCAACATATTAGGAAAAAGCAAGAACTATTTGGATAAGGAAGAAAAGAAGACTTCACGAGACATGAAATCAAGCTGACTATTGAAGAGTAAGAAAGTATTTGAAGAGGAAGCAAGAAAAGTAGACACTGAACCTAGGGAGAAAAATGGTGAACAAAGGTAATGTTTCTCGGTGCTAACTTTGGTGAATCATTTTAGGAAGCTTCCTACTTTTTAAACATTTTGTAGGTGCAACTCCCAATCTGTTCAGGGATCCTGGGGTCCTTCCCAACAATTCTCAGACAAATCAAACACAGGTTCACTGTGAGGGCTGGAAGATTCAGTGCCATTCTGATCCTGCAGTGCTAAGAATTACACAGGCCACCCAAGCAGGTGGGGCCTAAAGGTCTCCAGGGCAAAGCCTGAACTTTAACCCCTCTCTTTCTTTGGCCCAACTGGGAGAAGGCTTTTTTTTTTTTTTTAAAGATAACCAGAACTCAGTATGGACTTATTATCAGGCTGAGGCTACTTAATCTACCAGGCTAAGTTTATGTATCTAACTGTTTTAATTCTATAAATTAGCCTGATGCATTTGGGATAGTGGATTCACAGTCCAGATAAAACAGAGGGTCTGTAAAGGTGGTAAGGCTGGGAAGGTTTTTTATGGCAAGCTTTATAGAGTATTGAATTCCACAGAGAAGTCTGCATGATACTCTATGAAAATTGTTTTGGGGTAGGAATATTAGGAATATTAATAGTTCGTGTACTTTAGGGGCATTTTATATAAATAATGTATGAAGGATGAATGAGAATAAAAAGGCAGTAAGATAAGCTAGGGGCTTACTCTTGGCTCTGTACTCAGAGATCAATCCTGATGGGGAACAGGGGGCCACAGTGATGATATTTTTACACAACTAAGTGAACACAGATAAGTAAAATGAAGCAGTTAATTATAGTAATAACATACACATTGAATTACCTTAAGGTAACCTTATTATGTTCAGGGCAGATATATATTGGCTAATTATTCATTGTGTATGGATTAAGCTGCAGTAACTAAGTTTAGAAGATGAATTAAAGTCACTTAAGGTTTAAAGTACTTTCATGTTATCATTCTGGAAATGTCTATCAAGAAATTATGGAGATAAGGAAGGACGTAGAGACAGTTCTTCAGCATCAATGAGGAAAAAAATCAAAATGGTTAGTATTAAAAGTTAAGAGAATTTATGATCCCCAGTACTAAGTGAGCAGAGAAAAGGAAAAAAAGAAAGAGTAAACCTACCCTTAATAGGCGAGAAGAAGGAAGAGAAGTCCAAAAACAAAAAGGGACAGTCACAGGAACAAAAATCATAAGGGAAAATACTATGAAATCAAATGATCAACAACACTTAAAGTGAAAAATTCAGTAAAAATAAAGACAAAAAGAAGACTGTTAATATGATAAGAAAGGAGACTGGAATTTTGAATACAGAGTCAGCAGAGTAATGAGTTTGAAAGGAAAGTAAAAAAAGAAAACTAGTCTATTCTAAAGTTTTGAGAGGCAAAGAATCTTGGTCTTTCCTGTGGAAGAAAATAAGAATATTATGAGATATTTACTAACCAGTATATAATACTGTAATCTTAACAAGAAAAGGAAGCATATTTAATAGGAGGAAACTGAGATCTACTAGATTAGGTTCAATTTGCAGTTTTGGAAGTATCACAAGTAAAATGCACAAAATCACTCAGAGAAATATAAATGGTTGGGATGAAGGTAAGATTTATAAGACAAGTCCTCAGGAAAATGGAAAAAGACACAGAGGAAGATGATGGAATTAGGTGATAGAGTGGAAAACAAAGACTTCAAAAAATGCTACTAAAAATAGTGACAGACACATAGTCAAAAAGTAGTTTTTCAGAAGTGGGTAAAAATTTTGGAACCTCATACTAACATTGTATACCCCTCCTCTTACCTCAGATTTCATCAAATAGTAATGACTAAAAGTTGGATGGGGGGACAGAGGGGAAACTAGTGATGGCAAAAGAGGGAACAGGTAGTGGGGAAAGTGTCATCCCAAGGCATCAGAAGTCATTTCAAGGTGGTGGAAAGAATGCTAAGAAAAAAGTCAATTATCTGGGAAATTGGAAATGAAAAGGAAAGTACTGCAACCAACCCAATGGAAACAGTGACAGAAAGGAGAATAAGTACTCAAAGAGAATAAATAGGACATAAAACAACAAATGGAGAGCAATGTTTCTAGCCCTCTGGTCACAGTTTAAAATGATGCCTTCTGGTATGAGCAGCTGATGAAAATTTCTATTTTAAACAGTACAGATCTACTGAACAAGAACTAGAATAATCTTGGGGCCAGAGAGTATAGCAAGTAGGATGCATGACCTCCAGTACCCCATCTGGTACCCCCAAGACCCACCAAGAATGATCTCTGTATGTAGAGCCAGGAGTGAGCCTTAAGCAACACTGGGTGTGGCCAAAACAAACAGAAAACAGAATAGAGAAAAAA